ACGGCTGCACCGATCATCACCACTACTACGGCTGCACCGATCATCACTACTACTACAGCTGCACCGATCATCACCACTACTACGGCTGCACCAACCACCACTGCTGCTCCAAAGACCTATTCAGAAATAACATTTGCATCTCACAAATATACGAACAGATAAAAAAGAAATAAAAAATGAAAGAAATATATATGAATAATATAAAACGACGACCACAACATCGTAAGTTATACTTTCTAATATCATTAACGACTTATCAACTGAATAGAACGTGAAAAAAACTACCTTTACTATTGTCAACTTATGAAAAAATGTACATCCTACTAAAAAACGAATAATCGGCGTCGTCGTATCACAGAGATCTTCGTATCATTAGATGCTACATTATTATTGTCAGCATAAAAGCTTTTACTGAATCATGCCAATCATGTATAGATGAATCTTTAATCATAGAAAAATACTTTTAAGAACTGTATATATAAAATGAGGTTATTGATGCATTTTCTTGTATATCATATCTCAATAGTGAATGATAACATCGATATATTTGCATTATTAATATTAATATTACTTTATATTTAGATTAATGACTCCAACAGCAACTGGTAATACTCAGTCGTCAGCAAGTATGCAGACTAATACACAAACATCAAGTTCAAAGCCTACAATCGAAACTACGGTAAGCTTGCATACAAAAGCAATGAATTTATATAGAAAAATGAAAACTTATAACCATATGAATTACTTCAGACGATCTTAGACGAGACTTCAACAACAACTTTCACTACAACAACGATCACCACAACACAACCTCCTATTCCAATATTTTCTTGTGATTTTTCTGATAATTCATGTTTTCAAGATAATCAAGTAATCATTACAAATGGAGCTTCATTCACTTCTTCCGATCTTTCAAAACCACCTCGAGCTCCTCTTTCAGATGCTGCTTCAATTAGTAAGTATTCTTTTCCTTTCCATTCACAACATATTCATATACACAAATCATTATTAAAGATGAACCAACAGGCAATAATCAGAAATGTAACTTACCCTACCAATTATCTATTGATAATAATACAAATACATCAAATTGGGATATGTGGTTTTGTTACAACAATACATGTCCAACAAACGATGAAGACATCTCCAATTGCACTTCAGGTAGAATCATTTATATTTATACACATATATAGATATGCGTTTGGTTTAGGTAATTATGGTTTGATTTCTATTGAACCTTGGGAAACAAATAAAACAATCAGTACTGTAATTAATGAAAATATGATAACACGTGATTTAGTTGGAGGAGAACAATGTCTTTTGTATTATTATTATATTACTCTTGATGATGGTATTGATTATGGTCAACAACTATTAGTATCAATCAAGCCTGATAATATAAGTGACAGTGTAACAGAAATCGATCAATTATCAATTGTTGATATGAAAGAAAACCGATGGCATCAACGAAATGTAACATTTAATTCGACATCTACGAGTTATACAGTAATATATATTTAATATGAATTATAAAATATATATAATCTGTATATTATTTTAGTTGATATTTTCGTTTGAAGTGAGAGATGGTAATCGAACAGAAAATGAAGCAAATAATAAAACAATCTATTTTGCATTGGATGATATTGATATATATAATCGAAATTGTGATGGTTAGTAAACTGGTATGAAAGATATAAATATAACAATATATATTTTTTCAGATTTGATCGAACCATCGATCACTTCGACTATCATAACAACTAGCGAAACTTCAACAATAACACCCACACTTACAACAATTGGTGCTACTAATCCTCCAAGTAAGTTAGCAACTTTTTAGAAGATATTTTACAGATTTTGATTAATCTCTTTAGCTACACCACCTAGTGATCTGGGCCTAATTCTTGGTCTTTCACTTGGAATTGGTATTCCAGCTGTGTTGATCGTAACCATTGTAGTTATACTTTTTATGAAAAAAAAAAAACGTGGCCATTTAAATATAGATGGTGAAGATGAAAATGGTATTAGATTGAAACGGAAAGATGGTCGAGCCGATAGTGATAATTTAACAAGATATATTTACTAAATCGATTCCTGATTGATTCATTTAATTTTTGTTACTATTGCATAAATGAACTATTCTATGGGTGATTGATTTATTCATGTTTTTTCTATTTTTTCCGAAATAATCTTATATTAATCTATGTATGTCTCTGCGTATGATACTGAAGAAATCAGCATTGTTAAATTTCATCAGTTGATAAGAAAATAATATACATATATTGGTCATATTCTATGAGTGAAAAACTATCATTTTTATTATAATTTTTAGTGAGTCGTTTGTGGCTTAAAGCATTGTTTATTGACAGCAACAATAAGTATAAGAAATAGGTATTAAAAGTCTTAGAACATGATATTGAACTTTGAAGGAATGAATAACAATTTTTTCAAAATAATTTGCATCAATCATAAACATAATCGAAAGTGCTATCGATGCGTTTGACTTTAATACAAGTGAAGTTAATATATAATCAATAAACTTTAATAAAATAGAAGGGAACGTTGTTTGTCAAGAATAAACTGAAAAGGTAATAAGAATAAAATAAATGAAATACTCTTGAACGTATTATTTCATAGGTAAAGCTTGAAAAATAAATGAGCAATGAACTTTCACAATAATCTGAGAAAGTAAAGAATGTTCTGCTACAATCTATAGAACACACAAGAACATTATCAAAATAAGCTTCTTAATATGTATTTCTTAGGATTTCATACAAATAGAAAAGTGATTCAATGTTTATTATTTGATAGATTAGGTCCGTTAAATGTTTTCTTCGGTCTTGTTTATTTCTTCTCAATAGCTGTTGGATTATTTGATGATGCTTGTGATTGAGATTCATTTGCAGCACCGATAGCATTTTTTGTTTTCTCTTCTATTTCTTTTTTATCTGCTGTTTGAACAGCATCTTGAGTCTCAGTAATAGGTTGAGATGCTTGGTTATTGTTGTTATTATTCGCTGCTTGTGTTGAAATCACATCAAAATTTCTACGTCCTGATGATGGATGAAGCATTCGTAACATTTTCGTTCTTTAAATTATCTTCAATCTACAAGAAAAAATTAATCTAAATTAGAATGAATTATGAAAAATATTATTTTTTAAAATACATATACTAAGTTTGATTTACGAGGGAACCTCACCAGGTGATACCCTCCGTTTGACCTCATATTCGGCCCATATGTAGGGCTCATATAGTAGATAAAAATCCCAAAAGGACTCGTGCCATTGCCCTCTTGGTGTTGAGATATTGTGATTCTAAGGTACTAAGATCTCTTAATGCCGTGGTCCCCCTCAGGGAAGTGGGAAAAACAAATGTTGGAATTTTGACCTGAAACTTTGTATACAATGAGGTCTTACAGAGAATAGTTTACTATGAGAGTTTTAGTTTTGCTGAATACTCATAAATCTAAAAAGGAATGTCATATGCTAGCTCTTGTAGCGCTAGAAAGTGACATTAGATTTTTATAGTCGTATCGCTGGATAGAAACAAGGAATAAGTCTAAAACTTTTACAGTAAACTATTCTCAGTAAGACCTCATTGTATACAAAGTTTCAGGTCAAAATTCCAACATTTGTTTTTCTCACTTCCCTGAGGGTGACCACGGCATTAAGAGATCTTAGTACCTTAGAATCACAATATCTCAACACCAAGAGGGCAATGGCACGAATCCTTTTGGGGTTTTTATCTACTATATGAGCCCTACATATGGGCAGAATATGAGGTCAAACGGAGGGTATCACCTGGTGAGATCCCCTCGTTAGTTGTACACTGCTTGAACTTAAGTTTTATGACATAATTGTGAAAAGAATTCGAAGAATTATTTTAATTATCATACATCGTCGTTGATATGAAGAAAAAGCTGTTTCTAAACATTAGTATAGTTGGTTTTTAATTCTATGCGTCAGAATGACTATTTCATAACAAATGTGCTATTTTTGAGGCAACCACTTATTAAACCAGCTTTTACTGGAGCGACTAAAATATTATTTTAGTACATATAGGTTAGTGATCTGATCTCTATCAGGACATTTGCACAATCGTTATGATATTCTATGAAAAGTTTTTCATTAATTAATTAGTTGAACGTTTAAAGGCATTTTATAGCGAATAAAAATATCGATTGAACAGAAACAGGTAATACATGAACGACATGTCTACATAAGAAGAAAATTAACCAGTGTAAAACTTTATATACTTCTCATGACACGTATGTCGATTCCTAACAATATTCTTATACTATGAATAATTGTAAAATGAGTAAAAACGATATTCTAATACTGAATGTAGTAAAATTTCTTACTTGAATAATAGTTAAAAAAACTTATACTGTATGCATATCAAACAAGCACTTATATACGACAAAGGTGAGGCACGTGTGGAGGAATATTGCATCTTGCACAATCAATACGCAAAAAAAACATGTCGTTTTTTCTTTCTTATTAAATATACGTAAACATTTAATAAAACATGAAAAGTTAATAAAGATAAAATATATTAAGTTTTCACTGTAATAATTTAGTTCTTGTTAATAGTCTTCGAATCGTCTGATGAATGAGATTTTACAGCATTGTTGATCGCATCTTTTGTTTTTGTCTCAATATCTGTTTTAAGTTGGGATTCAGATGAATTTTGATCTTGAATATTTTTTGTTGAAGATTTATCGGTCTTATTATCATTGTTTGATTTCTCAGGTACATCTTTGAAATTATTACGCCCTGATGAAGGATGAAACATTTTCATCATGAATTTTCTAAAAACAAACAAATATTTTTAAGATTTATTTCCGGTCTTATAAATTCTGTATAAAATTAGAATAGTAAACAGATGATGCATTGTCTCAAGTTATAGCTTTTATCGATTGATTTTATTTTCATGCTTTTTTATCGGTATTTTCAAACAATTCAATAGATACTCAATTAGAATTTCTTATTTTTTATACATAAAATGAACAATATATTACTAATTGAATCAACTTACCTTTGCTTTTTATTGTAGAAATAATTAAACGACTGAAATTGCGACAATAATATAAAAACAAAATGATTCATATATTTATCTTTCATCAGTTATATTAAGATTGTGCAATATCAATCAGTGCGTTATCGATTCTATTTCTGCCTATTGCAGAAACGAAGGAAATTATAAAAATAATCATAGTTACCTCTATTATTGTATTGTCAACTAGATTAGTGAAAGAACACAAACTTATTCATTATGAATATGAGAAGACATTGTAACTCATGATTATAGTTTTATTACATTTAATATCTATTGGTAATGTTTTGATTTGTATTTATTATTTAGCTGATACAATGTGTATTACTAAGATAATGGTGCAATGAGAACCAGCTAGTACTAAATAATGAACTATTAGAAATATAAGTAGAAACACAGCAGAAGAATATTTTCAAAATCTATCACAAAGAATGTATGTTATAAGTCAATTGTATCGATTTTTACTAATATTATTTGTTCTACAATTGATCATGATTCATAATGATTCTTTCACTGTGGCTAAATGAAATGAAAATCCTTGGCAACTGTTTTAGTATTTTTTTTTTGTTATGTCTTGTATTTCCTTTATTTATGGAATATATACTCTTTTGATGATTTAGATGACTTAACTCTAAGTTGAAGACAAATAGAATGTAACCCATTGATTAAAATCAACAGCAATTATAAGACAGAAAGAACTGTATAGTAATTTGATTCGTTCATGCAGTTATTGATTTTCTGCAACTGTAGTTGAAGTATCGAGGCATAGTAAAATTACCTCTGTCGTCGTTGTGGTTAAGTATCCTAGAAAAACACTTTTCCTAATGCTGACAATAAGCAATTTTCTATAAGCACGTGTACCTTTAGTTTGAAATCAATTTGCTCAATTAAAAACACGATTTTTATAGATTGTAGCATGCTCTGTTGCTTATGACACTGGAAAACTTCCGAAATTCTGTTTTCGAAGGGCTTTCTAGAGATATTCTCATTCAGAAACTTCTAAAAATTCCTAAATATTACCATTTAAGTTCGTCGTTGCTAAAAGTCTATAAAAAAGGTCTTAATAAATCTGTACCACTCTAGAACTTAATAAAAAATATTAACTCAATAGTCAGACAAACAAAATACAGTTTTCGATGCTATATCTGAATAAGTATATAGTTTTGAAAGATGCAATTTTCAAACCGTGAAGCAGGCTCGTTTTTT